CTGGGGAGCATTTATCTGCGTTTCTGTCTTGCTCTCTTTCTCTCTCTCCCTCACCAGGTACTTTCTCTCCTTCTTTCAGTCCTTCTGCTCTTCTCTGTGGGGAGGCATGTCCTGCTGTTTCCGCCCTGTCTGTGGCCCAATTCATAATGCCTGCCTTCTTGTTCACATGTGGCTCTTTTGGACCCAATGACCAATGCTTCCTTCAACTTCAACCCTGCTACTAATCACCTCATGCTTCTAGCTTTCCGGTTCTGCAGGGATCACACTGATGAGCCCAACTCATCCTTACAAAACGTTGGTCATAAGGCATGGATCTGAAGTCACCATGCCTGAGCTGTCTTTTGTTCGGTGTCTGACCCCATTTGTTTGTATTTCAGGTATTTAGAAATAGAGTTACATGTTATAAAACATGCCCAATGTCTTCTTGGAGGTTAGGGGATGAGAAAACTTCCCAAGGAAGACGGTATGACAGACCTTTGTCAAACACAACTTCTTTACTGCATCCTGTGTAGTATAATCTAAAGGAATTTCCAAACATTGATGGTACATAAAAGCAGTATGTAAGGATCTCTGAGGGAAGTAATTCACTTTTCCTAGTATTGAACACAGTACTACCTGCTGCATAGTGTTAGCACAGTTTAAATAATAATGTGAGGGGCGCCTGGGTGGCGCAGTCGGTTAAGCGTCCGACTTCAGCCAGGTCACGATCTCGCGGTCCGTGAGTTCGAGCCCCGCATCAGGCTCTGGGCTGATGGCTCGGAGCCTGGGGCCTGTTTCCGATTCTGTGTCTCCCTCTCTCTCTGCCCCTCCCCCGTTCGTGCTCTGTCTCTCTGTGTCCCAAAAATAAATAAAAAACATTGAAAAAAAAAATTAAAAAATAAATAAATAAATAAATAATAATGTGAATAAAAGCAACCACAAAATAAATGCCATTCATTGATCTCTTATTGTATGTTGCACACTTCCTATGCATTATTAATAATTCCTCCAGTAACTGTAAAGAGTGGATACAGACATCTGTATTTTACAGAAGAGTTAGAGGTTCAGGAAGCTTAAGTAAGTAACTGGTCAGGAAACTTAAGTAACTGGTTATATCCCATGGAAGTGGTAAATACTCTAAAAGCTCTACTTCTTTACCATATTTTGCTGGCAATATATTTTTGCATTTCAACAGGCAAGTATATTTTAAAGAAATTAAGATGAGAAAAATACTAGACTACATTTATGCAAATATCCACCTTTTCTGTTTCACTTCCTTTTCCCTGAAGTTTCAAGTGAACCCTGGCGTCATTTCTTTCAACCTAAAGAAATCCATTTTTGCATGTCTTTACAGAACAGGTCTGCTTTGATAAATTCACCTTCATCCCTCAAAGATATCTTCACTAGAAACAGAATTCAAGGTTGATAGTTCTTTTCTTTTGGCACCTTGAAGATGTTCTACTGTCTCCTGGCCTCCATCATATCTGATGAGAAACTTCCGTCCTTGGGATTATTGTTCTCCTGCATTTAATGTGTCATCCCCCCCCCCCCCCCCACCTGCCTGTGACTACATTCAAAACTTTTTTCTTTATCCATGGTTTTCAGTGATTTTGTTATGTTTCTGGGCTATTTTTTTTTATTTTTTATTTTTTTTTTTAGTTTATTCCCTTTGGAGTTTGTTGAGTTTCCGTCATCTATAGCAAGTCTGGGAAGTTTTCAGGCATTATTTCTATGAATGTTCTTTCTGTACCAACATTATTTGCCTCTTCCTTAGGGACTCCAGTGACACAAATGTGATATCTTTGGATATTGTCTCTCAAGTCTCTGAGACCCTAGCTATTTTTGGTTCCAATCACTTTTTTTCTTCCTGTTATTCCGATTGGGATAATTTCTACTGCTCTCTCCTCATGTTTCGCCTGCTCGTTTTCATCTCCATTCTGCTCTTGAGTTCATTTTATGGATTTTAAATTTCAGATATTATATTTTTCACTTCACTGTAGTTCTTTTTTTTAAAGACTCTATTTCTCTTCTAAGAATTTCTATCTATTCATTTCAACAGTGTTTACCTTAGTTCATAGCAAATGGTTCTAGTAGCTGCTTTAAAGTCTGTATGAGAATTCACACATCTGAGCTGTCTTTGGGTTGGCGTCTGCTGATTGCTCATTCCTTTGAGAATTGGTCAGATTATCATGGATGTTAGTATATCAAGTAATTTTGGATTATAGCCTAGACATTTTGAACATACATTGCTAGACTTTGCATATTGTAAAAACTTCTCTGGAGAATATTGATTTGTTGTTTGAAGGAGTGATCCGCCTGCACGTCTGTCCTTTTCTTCTGTGGGAGTCTTTGCAAGGTCAATTCTGTTTTCAAAGGCTTTGCTATGCTGTTTGGGTCTGCCTGGGGTAATGTGCCACTCAGGGCTCTGGTACTTGGGTGGTTTTGATGCTGTAATTTGTTCTCAGAGCCTTCACTGCACTTCTCAGGGCATTTTCTGTGCATGCACGACTTGGGGAGTAAGCTCATCACTTGTGTAGATTCAAACACAGAATTAGAGATTCTCTTCTCCGGCTCCCTCTCATCTGTGGGGTTTCTCCCACACCCTCAGGCTTCCAAGGCCCACATTTCCAGTTTTTCTGGCTGGAAAGATTAGGTTTTCTGAGTTTTGGCCTCCTGAGCCATGGCCCAGTTCCATGCAATTGTAGCACAGTGCAAAGCAGTGAAAAAAAAGAGAAAACCTCTCTTTTTTTTCCCTCACTCTTTGAAAATTGAGGGTTCCTTTTTCTCATTCTTATAGCAAAAGGGTTAAATCGTCATTTGGGATCTTAAGTGTCCATGCCTCCCCTTGGGTAGCAGTGCAGATCTACTTTTGAGGCCTTGAAGACAGGACTGGGAGAATAAAAAGAGAAGACTTCAACATGGGGACTTTCCCTATACTCTGGCTTACAGCAGCCCCCTTTCCTGCTGATCTAGTGAGAATGATGATCATATGGGGATTTTTGTTTTGTTTTGTTTTGTTTTCTGTTTGCACCTTTTACACTTTTACAGAGTTCCCAATCTGACTTGCCTTCAGGTCCAATCTAGGAAGAGAAAAAAAGGAAAAACTCAGAAAACTCTTTGTAGCCAATTTTATCTTTCCTTAAGGCTAGCTAGACTTCTCTCCTTAATCCACTTACTACTGTTTACATTTCAGACTCCTCAGATAGTTGTTTGCCATGTGGGTCCACGTTTTAGTCGTGATCAGGGGAACGACAGAATGGGCTCCTTACTCACTGGACTGCCTCTAATTCACGTTTTCACCCCTAGCACTTGCCTCAGAACCTGTCACATGATAGACAATAAAGCAAATGAAGTGAATACAAATGTAAAATGTGAGGCTCCCCAATGTGAAGGGAATATTTGTGCGTGTGTGTGTGTGTGTGTGTGTGTGAATGAAAATGTAAACCGTGAAGCTTGCCAATTCTCTAGCAAATTCTGGTAGGACCTGGACGGCACATGTTTGGCTCACAGTCTGCCACTCTTCCCACGCTCAGATATGATCAGCACTTCTCCACTGCTTGGCTGCCTGTGGAGCCTGAACGCAGCCACAGAATATTCCTACACCACAGACCAGGAAGCCACTGTCAGGTGGATAGCACAGCATATGGGGGACAAGCCGGCCTTGTACCCGGGCTTTCAGATGTGTCCACACAAAATGTGCAGCCTGCCTTTCCCATTTAACTGCAGTGGCTTCTCCCTGTACGCTTCCACCTTCCCATCCTCTTTTCTGTAAGATTGCAGGTGATGGACGTGTTTTTTTCTTTGCCAAATGGGCTTGTGGAGAAAAATAAAATCTTTTTTTTTTTTTTTTTTTTTTTTTTTTTTTTTGCTCTCTTATATAAAGTCTATATTTTCATGAAAAAAGGTAACTTGGGGGCGCCTGGGTGGCTTGGTCGGTTAAGCGTCCGACTTCGGCTCAGGTCATGATCTCACGGTCCGTGAGTTCGAGCCCCGCGTCGGGCTCTGTGCTGACAGCTCAGAGCCTGGAGCCCGTTTCGGATTCTGTGTCTCCCTCTCTCTCTGTCCCTCCCCTGTTCATGCTCTGTCTCTCTCTGTCTCAAAAATAAATAAACGTTAAAAAAAATTTTTTTTAAAGGTAACTTGACTAATGTGTTTCACAGAGCTTTCTCTCATTTATACCAAAAGGTACTTATTTTAGTGTTTTATCCCTTGGGAAATGATGAATTTGTTTAATAGATTGGTAATTATCCCGCTCAAAAATGATCATTAGAATTCCTCTGTATTTGATTACTATGTATCACCAAACGCACAACCCATTTATCACCAGCTGCATCCATTAATTCAGCCTTGCTGGTCCATGCATAAGAGACTACTCTAACTTCTCATTTTGAGTCTTTCTAAGAAAAATATTGGTAGAAAGTAGTATGCCTTAAATATATCGGACTTAAAATCTCAGTCTGTACAAATTTTTATTTTTATTTTTGCTTTCTATTTTTATTACCTGAAGGCTACTTTCCAATGGCGTCACAATCTAAACAGAAGTGTACTTTTTTGTTAGGGGATTGGAGTGAGTATTACCTTCTAGTGATTATAGTGGTAGTAAGAGGCCATGTTTGTAAATGTGAATGCGTCTTCATGTCTTTGTACGTTTCGTATGGAACGCTATCTGTGACCCAATTAGATCCTTACTCAAAGGTACTCTTTCCAGAATTTTGGAATATCTCCACCTCTAAAATGGAAAATCTGGTCCGGAAAATGAGCTCCTAGAATATACTGAGCATGTGTGCGGTGCAAACACCGAGCACGAGTTGATTGAAGGTTGATATCATTGAGTATGGAGTTATCTAGTAAGGTTTCCCTTGGACTGTAATTCAGGATCTGTGGTTTGGGATTGTGCGCATCCGTGCTATGGCTGAAATCAGAACAATAAAGAGAAAAGAAACTGCCTGGTACAATCTAAGCGGTGTTCACAATCTGAGTTTGTTTTTCTTTTCTCCTTCACCCTACCCCCGGGTCTCCAGTTTACCGTGGTTTCTGGGCAGTCCTGATGCTTCTGGGGGTCGTCGCCGTGGTGACTGCAAGCTTTCTGATCATCTGTGCAGCCCCCTTCGCGAGCCATGTTCTCTATAAAGCCGGCGGAGGCGGGTACATTGCTGCAGGTACGCACTGGGCAAAGGGTGTGATTTCCAGCCATGGGTTTCCTCCATATCTTCATATTCTCCTTTTCTAGTTTCAGATTTCAGGCTTCTAGTAGTGGTAATACAATGATATTTATATACAGTATTTCTTGAGCGCCTGCTACATGTTCCACAGCCTTTCTCACTGTATCCATATTGTATTAAGAGGGCACTAGAAGGGAAATTAACCTGTTTACTCTCTCTGTAAAATGGGGTCATAACTGTAATATCAGGATGTGGGTGAACTTTTCTGGGTGATCTTAAAAGAGATAACCTCCTGATGATATTACAAACCGGCATCACAGGTAAAAAACATCTCTTTCTACAATGTCCCCATTCAGTTTTCTTAACTGTGTTCATGGGCATTAGCAAAACACATTCTCTCCCTGGCAAAACCTGCGTTTGTTTTAGTTGGCTTTACAACTAGTGTTTTTAATGCCTGCTTATGGTGATCATAGCACAAATAGAAAAATAATCGACTAGGTGTGTCTTGTGAATGTTCCATCTTTTTCATTTAATTGGGAAGTAAAAGCCAGAAGTCTAATCCGAAAACATAAGTGCACAGGTGATTTGTAAAGATAACAGTTCTAGAAAATTAGACAAACTTCACTATAGTAAGACCAAATTGCACATGACTAAGCTATACTATAATGTCAGATAAGAAGGACAGAGTGTTTCTGTAGAAATGGTAATGACAGTAAAGAAACAGGATGGATAGCTTTGTTGTCTCTAAATCATTTCAGAGACAGCTCCTCATGTGTTCCCTCATCATTTAATCGATGGTCAATTCACAGTTCCTTTGAGCACACTTTTTACATAATACTGTACTTAATTCTGTAGAGGGAATAAAAACAAGAATAATCAGATACAGATCCTCCATTCAAAGACCTCAAAAAAAAAAAAAAAAGAATAAAGAGAAAAACCCATCAAATCAGAGTCCTGTTTAACCCATTCTGTCATTCTTTTGTCTTATATTCAATTCTTTTCCTCACTGTTTTTTCAAGGACCTTGTTTTCAAGGGCCTGGATTTCTTCACAAAATTTACCTTTATAAAATAAACAATGCAGGGCTCCTGGGTAGCTCAGTCGGTTGAGCATTCGACTTCAGCTCAGGTCATGATCTCGTGGTCCGTGAGTCTGAGCCCCAGGTCAGCTCTGTGCTGACAGCTCGGAGCCTGGAGCCTGTTTCAGATTCTGTGTCTCCCTCTCTCTCTGCCCCTCCCCTGTTCATGCTCTCTCTCTCTCTCTCTCTCTTTCTCTCTCTCTCTCTCTGTCAAAAATAAATAAACATTAAAAAACTTTTAAGGTATACAATGCAGTGTTTTTAAATATGTTTCCAGAGTTGTACAAATATTACCACTCTCTGATTCCAGAATATTTTTATCACCTCACAAAGAGACCTCATCATCTCCCCTCTTTTTCTCCTTCTGGCCCTGAGTAAACAATCATCTACTTTCTGTCTCTGTGGGTTTGCCTCCTCTGGAAATTTCATATAAATGGATTCAGACAATGTGTGGCCTTTTGTGTCAGTCCATTTCAGTCTCATAACTTATAATGTCCTTTCTTTCATTCATAATTCCATAAGACTAAACCCCTTATATATCTTAAAACTGACCATTTTCTGAGCCAAAATTTTTTTTCTCCCTCAAGGAGGGAGGGAAAACCACATTCTACCTTTGCTTCATTCAAAGGTCTAGTGAAGGTTTATATTTTTCCATGGTCTTCCCAGAAATAGCAGCTGTCTGCTAGAGTTTGTAAATATTTGTTTCTTCTCATTCCTTGCTTTTCTTTTTTAATCTTTTCCAATAAGGGAACTATGTACAGTTGACCCTTGAACAATATAGTTTGAACTGTTTGGGTCCACTTACACACAGATTTCTTTTTTTTGATAAATACAGTACAGTTCTGTAAATGTATTTTTTCTTCCTCATGTTTTTATTAGTGACATTTTCTATTCTTAGCTTACTTTATTGTAAGAATACGATATGTAATACATATACAAAGTATGTGTTAATCGACTGTTATCAGTAAAACTTCTGGTCGAGTAGGCTATTAGTCATTAAGTTTAGGGGAGTTAAAAGTTATAGGCAAATTTTCAACTGCAGATAAATTTGGGGGAGTTAAAAGACATAGGCATATTTTCAACTGCCCATAAGGTCAGTTCTCCTAATGCTACATTGTTCAAGGGTTAACTGTAATAGCGTTAGTTTAGTACATATTATGGATAGCATAGTTGCTTTATACTCAGAAGTGCTCTGATCCTTGGTTTAGTCTGATCAAAGACTTATGTGTCTCTGTGTGTGTTTAGTGCTTTTGAAAAAGAAAAAGTTGGTCATTTTTAAATTGTACAAGAAAATAGTATATTCAGAGAATTATATTTGGCTGAGAACTCTATAGGAAGGTAAAGCATTTGATATATACTCCTATGCTTATGACCAGTGGGTTTTCTCTTTTCAATGAATCTTTGCTGTATGTGGGTATGGGGCTGAGGTCCTCCTTGCCAAGTCTTCATGCAATAGCCCCTGGGAATTGAGAGGTGCCCATGGTATTCTGGGACCCATTCTGAAAGCAACTGAACTGGACAATTATGAGGACACGTCCTTTCAAATTTGACTTTTAATTTTCTTCAGGGCAGAATTCTTTAGTGTTTATATAGGGCTATTTGTTTCCCCAAAACACAGAGAGATATTCTGTTGGATGGGACAAAATATTACTGTTCATTTTATTAGCTCGGGAAGAAAAAGTGATGTTCTCAGGAATAACTAAAGTTTATGGTTCAGTGGCAATTTCCACAATGAAGCACAATTTTGTTAAGGCAGTTATGGGGCTAATAAATTATCTTGAAGCTTGAGTACTTTGATAGAAGAATTTGTAAAACCTTTTAATTGTCTATATTGACATTCTCAGGTGATGTTAATAAGCAAGTTATCCTTTCAAAGCTGAAGATGGAAACTTACATGCTATGCTATATGAACACTAGGAAAATATGTACTAAACACTAGGTTTTGGGGCCAGCTGGATTTTTGTGTACCACATTTAATATGGACCCATGCATATAATCATCTACTGAATTTAATAGAATTGAATTTATAATTCTTTCTTTGGTCAGATTTTATATTTTCAAAATGAAGAGATCTCATTCCATGCATCTGGTATTATACAATCTCTTTGTTTTTTTTTTATGGGCCTCATCATTCCTTGCCTGAATCTCCCATGCTGGCCTGTGCCAGTGCTCTGTGCTCTGCTGGGCAGTTAGTGACAGGTGCAGCTTGGGCCCAGGGTTGCCGTGGCAGCTTTATCAATGCCACAAACGAGATTGCACACTCTCTCTATTTGGACAGATGACTTTAGGACAGGGGATACCCAAATTCCAAATGGCCATTGCTGGCTGTGTGTGCATGTAGAAAGACTCCTTGGCATTAGCAAGAAGATTGCTTTGGGGCATTCCATGCATAGCTGAGTCATGCTGATGTCACAGTTGGTGTGAGTAAGGAGTGGGGTCCATGGTATTCTTCTTGCTCTGTCAACAGGCTCAGAGCAAAACTTAGAGGACATATGTGGCCACTCCTTGCAGCTGGGCAGATTCCTCTTCAGGCAGTCTCTGGCCATGTGCTCCCCAAGTAGGTTCGGGTATGAACCAAGTGCATGGTAATTGTCAGGATTGTTATATTACAGAACCTGTTTCAGTGAGTCTAATCATACACGCTACAATGCCTAAACAAGTGCTGAAATTTGTTTTAATGTTGGCTCCCAGAGAACTTTCAGATCCAAAGGGGGCTGACACTGGTCTTCTCCTAACCCTGTGATACTGGAGGTTATAGGAAAGATGCAGGAGAAGTTAGAATGGGTAGGCACCGCATTACAAAACATTTAGGTTATATGGAGGAAATTAGTATACCACAGAATATTCCTAGTGCCTGGGCAAAGTGATGTCAATAAAGGAATTGTTGTGCCTGAGCAAGACTTCTAAGTGAACAGGAAAGAATAATGACATGATCTGGAAGTTCGGGGACACTGACATTGGGTGATAAGCCATAAAATGTAGAGATCAGCATCTTAGCAGCATATTAGGGTGCAAAGATTTTTATTTCATAATTGAAATCACCTCTTCCTGAGTGACAAAGTGCAAGTATGTTTTTCTGCTGATTGTAGAGCTAGACTGAGTCCCTCCTGGGTAGAGGTGCCTGAAAAGCTTCTGAATCTTGACTAGATCCCTTGTGGGACCCTCAGGCTGGTGAGACTACGGGGACCTCTTAGAAGTCAGGAATATAGCAGCCTTTGTTTTAGTAGACCCAGGATGTATTAATGGAAGTAAATGGTATCTCTGCAGTGTGATTGGCCCTTTGGAACAATTAGTCCCCTGGAGACAAAGTAGTGGTTTGACTCCCACCCCATTCTGGGACCACAGAGTTACCTAGACAGCTGTTGCGCAAGCTATTACTGGTCACCAGGGATACAAACTGAGTGAGTTGGGGTGAATTGTATAAATCCTCTGCCACGTGGGATAAACCGCCTGAAGCACATCCCTCCACAGCTCATCCCTGCTCCCTTCAGATCTGGAGGGCAGTGCTTTCTAAAAGCGTAGTGATGCGAACCCTTTTTAAAAAGTAGCATAAGAAAGGTGAGCGGATATGAAGGGAATATAAAATTCGGAATCCAAAATACAACATAAAATACTGAATCAGAGTTAAGTCGGATTTGTGGTTTGTTTTCCTTTTTCTTTCAAAAGGTCAATGGAATTTATAGTAGCTCATCAGTTAAGCACATTTATTTCTATATGAGATAAGATAGATGTCATGGTTGCAAACTACAAGATACTTTTTCACCTGAATCCTAGAAAAAATAGGTCATAAAGCCAAGGGGCATATTTCAGATGTTTTCTCTCTCTCTCTCTCTTTTTTTTTGGCTGACAGTGAACACGTGGCTTCCAGGAAGTACTGAGTGTCATTCCTTGCTTCTCACGTCTTCCTCCAGATAAAGCAG